TGCACTCTATTTGCACTTTGCCCCCTAAGGGGCAAGGGCTAGCCAAAGATACCCACAAATTCCATCTCCAAGAGCCTCCTTAGTCCTTATTTCTCTTTTCTATCTCAAAAATAGGGATTTTCTCTCAAAAATTGTCTCCAATAGTTCCCCTAAACTTGGTCTTATTTTTAGGGTGATCTCAAATAGAGGCTTCTCTTCCTCATTTCTGGGGAGGGAAAAACGACCCCCCATTTCAAATAATAATAATAATAATAATAATAATAATTTAAAAAGAAATAATATTATATTAATACATGAAAAAATATAACAAATAATTAATAATAAATTACTAATAATAATAATTAAAATTAAAAAATTAAAAAAATAAAAATTGTTCAAAAGAATAATTTATTTGATTAAAAATTAATAAATTATAATAACAATTAGCATAATAATAATAATAATCTAAAAAGAAATAATATTATATTAATAAAGGAAAAATTATAAAAAATAATTAATAATAAATTACTAATTATAATAATTAAAAAAAAATTAGTGAATATTATAAAATTAGTTAATTACTATTATAATCGTTAACAATTACAATATCAAGTGGGCTTCAAGTGGGGTTTTAGATAGATTTGTGGGTCTGGTTCATATTCAAATTATAAAATAGGGAGACTCTTGGAGAACAACAGAAAATAGGAAGCAAATGGATATAGGATGATATTGTGTACAAATTATTCTTTTTACCGAGTACTGAATCGAAAGATTCGTTCCCCGGGTCGATCTCACGAGGAAGGCGGTTCGGAATTCAGCTTTGGTATTGACAACACATAAAAGCAAAATAAATCCTAAACATACTAATCAAATAAGGGAGAAAATAATTATCAACTAAGAAATAAATAACAATGCAAAAATGTAAATCTACCTAAGAGTATGAATGGAGCGAAGATGGAGAAGCTAGGGAATCGGGATAATTAATTCAAGTTCTAGCAAAGTCGGGCAATTCATTGTTCGGTTCTAGATTGACACTCTCGCTTAGTCATCTAGCGGTTCGCTCCCAATAACTCTTCGTAACAAGGGATTGAACATAGACGAACGAGCTCAAGCATACAAAACAGGCCAATGATCCCAGTCCCAATAACTATTCGTAACAAAGGACGAGTCATCGACAAGCTCGTATTTCTATCTAAAACACATAGATTATTCAATTACGAAATCATCTACCTCATGCGAGCCTATTTCTACGACTTCTCCCCTTTCGGTTCTGAAAGCCGCTAAATCAATTAGAAAGTGTTTAAGCAACTAATCATATAGAATTGACAAACCCTAACTCGATCAACAAAATAAATCAATTCTCCAAATTTAATCATTATTCATGAATTAAACAAGAGAGAAAAGCTTACAATTAATCCAAGTTCGAACGTTGAATTCGTAGTACAAGCTTAATCCGAAGAAAAATAAAACTAATGGAAAATAAAGGTAAAAAGAACAAGGAAAATCGGATAAGAAGAAGAGAAGGAAGGAGAAGAGAGGAGTGGTGTTTTCGGGACCTAGGGTTTTACCCCCGGTCGAGAGATGTCCCCTGGTCAATGTCCCGTGCTGCAATTTAGGGCATCTTTAGCAATCATTTTTTATAAACCTCCATAAACCTCACTTTTACACTTCCCAATATGCCACATCATCCAAAACTTCATCCTTACTCCTATATCTATAAACTTCCAATAACAATAAACCCCATAAACCCCATTTTCTATGGGTCCCGCGTGTTTCCCACTTACTTCTAATTAATATTATACTATTATATTTTATTAATATCTTAAAATTATAACTCTACTTTTTATTCTTATTAAATGTAAATATTTCATATATTTATCATAAATACATCTACAAAATAATATAAGTATATTTTTTGTCACAATATTAAAATTTTTATTAAAAAAATAATAAAACTATATCAAAATACCCTTCATAGAGAAAAAAAAAACTTGAATACATATATATATATATAAATATAACACAAAGTGGCATGCCTGAGGTGTACTTGGAGTAAAGAAACAAAAAAAATAAAAATAATGAAAAAATAGGCCCACAAATGAGGTCTGTTGGAGGTTTTGATTTGTAAACCGGTAGTGGAAATTTAAACCTTAAACCTTATCACTTTAATAACAAAAGTTGAGGAGTGGGTTTGTAAACCTCGTGAAAACCTTATCGCTAAAGATGCTCTTATATCGATCAGGGTGAAAACCGTAAAAGAAAAATCAACTCGGTGTGGCTGGACGTGGTCGCCGCGACGCGAAGATGCGTCACGGCGCGATGGGAGTTGATGTCGCGGCATGGGGCTGTGGCACGGCGTGAGGAGGAAAACCTGGGCGCAGGCGTCGCGACGCGAAGGTTTGTCGCGGCGTGATGGGGCTTGAAGCTTCTGGCTGCGCGTGCTCGTGGAGGGCGCCGCGGCGCGGAGCAAGGATCTGCCGCGGCGCGAAGGTGGGACGCGGCGCGATGACTGGGAAGTCCTGGGCGTTGCTGCTGGGCATGTCGCGGCGTGTCGATCTGTCGCGGCGCGGGGGAGGGGGCCTGGCACGGCGTGACAGCGTGCGCGGCGCGGCGCTGCAAATCTGCTGCTCTGTCGAACTCGCGGGGGTGGCGCGGCGTGGAGAGAGGTGTGGTGCCGCGGCGCGTGACTCTGGCCTGGGGGTGGTGACTTCGTGCACGTCTTCACGTCTCGGGCCCGTTTGAACTCATTTAAACTCGGAATTGCATTTCGTCTTTTCCTGCTTGTTCCCAACGAACCCGTCTATCTAATCATGCTTGCCCGACTAGGTTGTACCTGAAATCTGGTTCTCCTAAGGCCTCCGACCTACACACCAAAATTAAAGAAAAACCGGAAGAGCACACGAAAAATACAAGGAAAACCACAAAAGAGAGAAACACGCAATAAACGACAAAACGGACTAAAAACTAATTAAAAGACCTAACATGTGGGAAAAAGAAAGACAAAATGACAACGAAAAATGCAACAAAAATGGGACAAACAGATGACTCCTTATTTCTCCAAATAAGAAGTCTAAAATAAGAAGTCTCTTGGAGATGCTCTAAGTGATTGTATTTTGTTCACAATTTTATGTTTTTTTTTTTTCATAAACACAATTTTATGTTTGTTGAATGGTTCGAACGCAATTTTTATGAGTTTAGTTGAGTCGAACTTGAGATTAATTCTTTGACTTTTTTAATAAATAAACATGATCTTGAATACGAAGTGCTCGGTTGACTTGACTCGGCACGAATAACACTTCATTCTCACTAGTACAGTAAGAACTGAATAATAAATATAAACTTTTAAGTTTGGGCTCAGATTTTGGTCTTCACAAATTTTAATTTGCAACGGTATTATAGTATATTATAGATGGAAAACTTAGTAGATTCAAGACAAATTAATTTTGTACTATTTGTCAAGCATTTAACGACCGAGTTGGGCTATACCCGTTAACATAATAATGAGCAGATAATCGAATTCAAACTCACCTAATTTATCAATATTAACGAGCATTAATGTCCAAGCTTTAACGAGCTATATAATATTATAATAAAACTAGTATAAAGCCCGTGCGATGCACGGGGTGCACGATTTTAAGGTCATTTATCCAGTCTTATAATTATATAAATAAATACAAAAATGTACGGGATATATATAGTACGTGAACTGTAATAGGTCAAAATATAAACAGGGGTGATGCACGGGGTACACAAATTTAAGGTCATTTATTAGTACAGAGCTCATGCGATGCATATGGTGCACAATTTCCTAGTATGTGTAATACAAATACATACCTTATGCACAGGACATAAGCACTAAATGAGTCATTTCCACAAAGCTTGCCCATTAAGTAGCTCTTGAACACGACTGCACAATTTGTAGTACGTACCATAAAATTAGAGCAGATTTCCATACAATTAGATAATAAATAAAACCTTTTTTATATTAGTAAAGATTTTACGAACATTTTTTTTTACTTATCGGATGTTATGAGACTTTTTTGTTAAACCGATTTTATGGGATATAATACAAATACAATTAGAGAATTGAACATCAGAACAGATTTCCATACAATTAGATAATAAGAAGGAATTAGATATGGGATATAATACCAATACAATTAGAGAATTGAACATCAGAACAGATTTCGATACAATTAGATAATAAGAAGGAATTAGATAAGGAAAAGAAGGAATTAGATAAGAAAAATAATGAATTATATAAAGAATTTTGAATCTGCCTTTTTTAGTATAGATAGACTTTATGTACTAATTTTGACTTCACTGATTTTATGAGATTTGTTTTGACAAAACAATGTTAATATAGAATAAGACAAATAAATAAAGTCTTTTTTATTTTAGTAAAGATTTTACGTCATTTTTTTTACTTGTCAGATGTTATAGAATTTTTTTTTCTTAAACTGATATTAGGGATATAAGATAAATAAATAAATTTTGGATAGAAATAGCAATGCATTAATTACGTTGACTTTTCAACCTACTAAATTTGGTAAATAGGAATATAGGATACCTTATTATATAAGTATAGATGATAGACGTGTAGGCTGTGCGATATAAGACAAATAAAGATAGTTAATTTCTTTTGATCTTTGTTTTATAATATGTCTTTGTTTTACTTTTATTTATATTGTTTTTAAAGTATTTAATTTTTAAATGAAAGTATGTATATTTATTGAAGAAGTATAAGGGTTGTTGATTTTAAAATTATGTAGGTGAAAATTAAGATATCATTAAATTTTATGTGAGTTTAATATAATATGACATTATGGTTGTCACTCATTATTATGCAAAATTTTACTATGTTATTTATCATCATTAATTACAATATTATTAGAAATTGCACTTCTCGATTTTAATTTTTTATTTTAACCCAATGCCTATTAAAAATTGCTTAGGCCGCCGGAATTGTTCAACTCTTGGGAGTCTCAAATACAATACAGAGGGTTTATTATTATTATTATTATTATTATTATTATTATTATTATTATTATTATTATTACTTTCTGAATATTTATTGCTTGTTCTACAATAATCCATATCTATGATCGATATGAGTTTCATAAGTAGATCACTAATTCATAGTTCTATTATGAGCTAGCCGTTTGGAAAAATAAAAATTAAAAAATATTATGGCCTAATAATTTTAGTTTGTTTAAATTCGATATTTTAGTAGCCCGAGGTCCGATACTCTGATTGTACTCATTATGAAAGAGATTAATATTACTCATTTTTTGTGTATACAATAGTGTAGATGATAGACACATAGGCATGTGCGATATAAAATAAAGATTAAAAGAAATTAACCATTTTATTTAAAAGCAATACAAGACAAATATATTACCTTTTCAATAAACATGCATTAATTACGCTGATTTTTTAACCTACTAAATTATAAATGCATTAATTACTACTTGATAAAATTAGAAGTTCATTAATTAAGTTTGACTTTTCTACCTACTGTATTTAGTAAATAGGTTCCCCTTTAATATAAGTATAGATTCTTTTTTTCGAACTTTAACAATCCAACTTCAGTCAAGCTATCAAGCTCATGAACGTCTCAGTTCATTTAACATCTCTATTTTCTCTCACTTATCATATTACATGTGCAAATTTTAATAAGCTAATAAGCCATATCAATAACACTAGGAGAGAGAGAGAGAGAGTGAGAGAGAGAGAGAGAGTCAAGATGCTACCTACTAGTTTTTGCAAATGAAAAAAGAAAAAAAAAATAAAATTGATCATTTTCAATATTATCCTAACATGGTGTGAAAAAAGAAAAGAAGAAGAAGATGAAGATGAATCTCTCCCCATATTAATTAGGCAATAAGCTTGTCAAGCCATCTTACATTAATGATTAATTGATGCAAATATTAAAAAAAAAAAGGATTACATTAAAGAACCAACAACCCCATTACTCTAGAAATGGTATTGGGCGCTTCAAGTTCGTCGATCGTCGTCAGTATTGATCGGCACCGGTAGCGGGAGCCGGAGCAGGAGTCGGGACAAATGCGTAATCTTCATAAGCAGTGGGTACCGGGTCATGCTCCGTAGGATCCGGTGGTGAATAGAATTCATAGGGAACCGGTGATCCCAGCATATCAGCGTAAGGACTGGGCCCACCCGATAGTGGGCCAATTATGCCTCTGGTGTCAGGGAAGTCCCAGTAGTCCATAGGTTCATTGCCTGAATTGTCAGTCGCTGGTTCGGTTTCACCACTGTCGACAGAGCCGTAGGCCCTGGCGGCAGTGGCGAATGGGGCGGCATAGACAATCGCTAAGAAGAAAACGATAAGAGGAAGAACAATGGTTTGTTTTGCCATCTTTTTTAGCTTTGTGGATTATTCCTATCCTTTTTTCCTAAAAAAGCTAAGCTCTTATTGTTTTCTTTTCTTATTTAAATGAAAAAAAATAAAAATAAAATGTATGAAAGTACATTAATTACATCCTTCAAGGGAGGGTGTTATATATGGGGTGGATGAGGAATTGAGTTCTCTAGTTTATATTTAGTGTCTTCAATTTTCGTTGTAAAATATCTCTAACTAAAAATAGAAATACTACAGTTTGAAAATAGCATAATCATAGAGTTGATATACGAATGATAAAAATATGAATGGAGCACATAATTTCAAGTTATTGAGAGTGGATGGAGGAGAGGAAAAGGTGGCCATGCAAATTGAATTTACTTGGACAGTTGATATACTTGAGACATTCACCTCAAAAATCGGATGAAAAAAAATTAAAAAAAAAAATTAAGGGAAATGGTACGGTCTCGTTGCGGAACCATTTCGTCGCGGTTTGTAATTGTTAGATCACTATGTAACCGTCAGAGATAGTTGATCTAACGGTTACAAATCCAGAACGAATGATTCCGTAACGGGATCGTAGCATCTCCCAAAAATTAAATTCAACTTTACAAATCATCTTTACTACTAATAGTGTTGTGTGGTAAGCAGAATTTTTGCGTCATTTTTTCAGAATAATAACTAATTTCGTCCATAAAACTTGCAAATAATGATCAAGATAAACGTTAATTCATTCCAAATTTTTTGTGGGAATCTTTTTAGCGGTTAGTTGAGTCGATTCGTTATATTTTTTTCTAAATGAAAATGTATGCTTATAATATAATAATTATAATATTATGAAATATCATACTATATTATGAGATATCATACTATTGTTTATGTTGTTTGTTAAAGTAAGAAGTATGATATTTTAGATTGAAAGTATGTATTTTAATCTATTGAAAAATTATGACTATATATAATCGTTAGGTTTGACAGTAGCATTAGTAATTGGAGTCACATAACAAATGTCACTATTTGTGCATACATGTGGGCAAAAAAACTTACAATGTATTATTGAAAAATCAATATTAAACAATATTAATTAACATACTTTGAGATATCTCGATATGTCTTTTGTTAGACTGGCATATTTATTCATTAGAAAAAATTATATTTTAAAGGATAACATAAACAAAAGTATGACATTTGTTAGACTGACATATTTACTCATTATAAAATATTATATTTTAAAAGATAACATAAACAAAAGTATAACATTTAATATAGGATGATGCACGTTTGCTCATCTCTGATACCAATGATGGAGATTATATATGATTAAAATTATTATTATTATTATTATTATTATTATTATTATTATTATTATTATTATTATTATTATTATTATTATTATTATTTCTTAATTATCTTGATTTTTTGGTTAGGAAGATATTTTATTTACTTGTTTGACAAGTTAGGGACTCTGGATACATTGAACTCTATTTATTAGCAGTCTGGCCAGAATGTACGGAGCAGTTGAATTTGAGAATGAAATAAGATATCGTGTTTTCTTTTGGGAGAGTATCCCGTGTTTTGGAGAGAGTATCTCCTTGTATTCGTTTTATCCTTCCCATTCGTACGCTTTCCGCTACATCACATAGTATGACGGGTCAATTTTTCTGATCGTTTGGCCGGCTCACACAAGAATTCGTGATCTCGTTAAAATAATTCTCGTGATATACATATATTGATTTAGTTGAAATATTCATCACTAATGGACGGGAGTATGATGCAACTCCAATACAATTCTCAAATTCACATAAATGTCACCTTTTACCATTATTATGAGAGAAATCTCATTTTATTTAAACTGATGTTCAATTCATATCATCAATAACAACAATAAATTTTACAATAAATATCATCCCCCAAGAAATATGAAAAAAAAAAATGATTGAAACCATATTTTGTTACTTGTTAGCCAATGTACTCTTTTCAAGTGATATTACATTACATTACACGCATAATATAACCCACATAGATTGTCACTAGCTTTTTCCTATTAAAAAAACTTCAGAAGAAGAACGAGCCGAAGGCACCGGCAACGGCAAATGCTCCGGCAACAGCCGTGGACCCCACACGGGCGGTGGCGGCACCGCTTCCTTCCGGGGCAGCGGCCGGAGCAAGGTCCGGGAAGACCCCATCGGGCACGGGGCTGCCCAACGGGGCGGCATCGCTGGCGGTGGTGCCGCCAGTTATGGTGCCGATTGTGCCGTCGTTCGACTCGCCGGAGGCGGCAGCTGCCGGAGCAAGGGAAGGAGCGGCGGTGGTGGCGGAGGAGAGCCCCACGGCTGCGAAGAAGACGAGAGCAAGAACAATGATTTGTTTCGCCATTTTTTTTTTCGAGTTTTTTCTTCTTCGTCTTCTTCTTCTTTATTTATTTTTATTTTTATTTTGTTGGGGTGGAGAGGGGGCGGTTTATATAGGGCGGAGGTGCGGTGGGGTTTGGTGGTGGAGTGGCGGAAGTTGCGGGGTGTGGAGGGAAAGTTGGCCATGCAAAAGTTTGGGTAGTTTCTTTGATGTTATTGATATATTTGAGATATTTTAGGGCAAAGATTTTTTCAAGTCCAATAGTTTGTGTGCAGCTCAAAATATGCCAGCATCATGATTTTAGGGGATAGTTTTTGAATTGTGAAAAAAACAAAAAAAAAAAAAAAANAACAAAAAAAAAAAAAAAAGGAAGGAAATTTTAGGTGCATAATTGCATATATTACCAAAATAAATAGATAAATAAAATGCACTTAGATGTAGCTTACTTTTAAATACAAATTTGATTAAAAAGCAGCTCAAAAGGTGCCATCTTGTGTGTGAAATAAGTTCTGCAAAGTTCAAAAGACCATAGCAATTGAAGTACACTTTTCCTGATATACAGAAAAAGAAAACATCTACATCTCTTTCACACTGCAAAATCAACAGACAATACTAACAAAGGTTTAGCGGACAATGCCCGAGCGCATGATATGTGTACAATGTCTCAGGCTAAAACGAGACGATCTTCCTACTAGAGTGCGGTTTTGCTGTAACCAAAGTGAAAAAAGTGCAATGGTTATTTTGAAACGAAAAAAATGATATCCATTTTGTGTTTTTACATTCACGACAGCCCCATCGTCGAATATCCTGTGTCTTGGCATAATTTAAATCATGGACTTGATAAGTCTTTCATCCTAATCAGTACATTCCCTTGAAAACAGGGTTCGTCCGGCATATGCTTGCCCCATATTCCTCGTATTCGGCTTTCGTATGGCAAGCCTGAATGTGCAAAAGTATATTTAAAAAAAAAAAAAAAAAGCTTTTTATAATTTCTAAATTTCTAATCCAAGTTAATTTAGAATCTGCAAGCATGATATTATACAGACAGAAAATTGGAACTACCGTGAAAAATTCTTGAGTCGATGCAAGAACCGAGCCTCCAAACCAAACTGCGTATCTTTGGATCGGGCGGCTAACGACATTTACTTCCACAGGTTCTGCCTGTCGAAAAATCATTCAGCACAAGTGAACACTTACACAAGAACCATTATTTAGACTCGCAAAATATTAATATATATATATATATATATATATATATATATATATATATTAAAAGTCCCTCGTTTAGTTTCTAATTCTTGGATCTCTGTACTTTGTAGTGACGTGAGGCGACATGTAATTCTGAAAGATAGTTGATTTTCTTTTTCGGGAAAAATGCATTTTTAGTTCTACTGGTTTAACGCTATATCAATTTTAATCCGTTCCAACTTTTTGCCTTTTGGTCATGTGATTTATAATATTGCTATAATTTCAGTCCTCAAATGACTGAAATTGCAACAAACAAAGGATTGCAGCAAAATTTAAAAGTACATGACTTAAATTGCTAATAAGAAATTTGGAAAATTGAGAATTTGTACAAAATATTAAATCACAGGGCCAAAAGACGAAATGTTTAAAAAAAACTTGGGACTAAAATAACTATGTTGTTGAACCACTGAAAATGCAATTTAGCCTTCTTCTTCTTCTTTTTTTTTTTTTTTTTTCTTCTTCCATTTAGTTATTGATTGTCATCAAAATAAGAGGTTATACCGTTAATCCTCCACCAAGTCTAGCATCAACAATTTTCTTTAGATCCCTTTGCAGCCTTCTGTTGAAATCTTTGAACATGGTTGAGCCACCTGATAACACGATGTTCTGCAATCAAACGAGTTTTGTACTCTGATTATAACAAAATTGGTTGAAAAAAAAAAAGAAAAAAAAAGAAAGAAAAACTGGATTTTTCTGGTTAATTGAAGATATTATTTGTCCAATGTCACCTTATACAAAGCTCTTCTTGTATCTATTGGTGCCGACTGAATGCATTTGTCGATGACATCAGGCAAAGGCATCGTGAAATCACTACTGCAAATTTCAGGATTGAAGAAAACCTGCACAAGAAAATTGTCATCAATCAATCACAAAAAAAAAAAAGAGAAAAAAAAAGGAAAAGAAGAGAAAGAAAATACTTTTCTTTTATAATTTCCGTAAAGACAAACCTCGGGGCCGAGAAAACGTTCATAGCCTACGTCACAGGAGTATGGGGCCCCGGTTTTCGGTTTAGTACCTCTCCATTGCTTAATATACTTTGCTGGCTCCTTATCATGCTTATTGAACTCCTGAACTCGTTAAGGATCATTAAACTAGTTAAAAAGAACAGCCGTCTCATATTAGAGATGTAAAACATAAGACATTTGTGAAAAACAAAACTGTCAAGTATATGAGATTTCTTCAAGATACACGTAATTTTCATCCATATTCGAATAGAGAAACAATAGTACTGAGTTTTTTTTGGTGTGTGTGTGTCTGTGAGTGAGTACGTGCTTCAAGATATCGTAAATACAAATGTATGTGGAATATACCTTCACAATGTCTGAGCAACAATAGCAATACATTTCCTTCACTTTCCGAGCTACTTCAAACGACTCCTCGGGTGGAATATGCTCTCCCCTTTCCTACATATATAGAACAAGCTAGGAATTGTAACAAAGGAGTAGAATTTAGTTGAGTGTATATATTCAAACGACCCAAACTTCAACTTGAGGACCCTTCACGTTCTTTTACCTTATTACCAAAAAAAAAAAAAATAAATAAAAAATAAAAAAACATACTTGGACTGTGTTATGCAATTTTGAAAGTTAGCTGTGTGTTTTTGTGATTAAGCCAAACCTCAAGGTCAATTTTTGTGATTATCCCTAGCGTGTAAAATGAAGAAGCGTACATACCCTCATAAGTTGCTGGATGAACCGGGTGACATCATCGCCAGCAATTGGGATCGACTTAATGCTGCTCCCTATAACATAACCATCAGCAACCGGCACAACATGAGTTGCTCCATCTCCCACGTCAACTACAACACCTGTCATCTCACACTAAAACCCAAAAAAAAAAAAAAAAAGAAATGTTGGAAGTATAAAAAACGAGTTCATTAAGAAAAAAGTATGTAAAGAAAAGTCTATCCCTCTATTCTCATGCTCACTTTTTTTTTTTCCCCAAGACTAAGGTAGCCCCAGAAAACAGAAATGACATATAATTATAAAACTGATGACGACTAATTAGAAATAATTTTGTTCTCGAGGTACCTAAGCAAATGCTTTATTCATGTAATCAGAGATTACTTTACTGTCAGCACATTATCTGGCATTGCATGACTTTATCAAGTAAAAGAAGTAGCTCTCATGAAATATATACAATAAGAAAAGCAATAAAAGGGAAACAAATTTGAATGCCGCAACTCAGAAGTAAGTGGAGAGTAATTGTAGGTTAGCAAATCTCAGACAAACATTCAACTATTATTTAATGCTTCTCGGTTCTCTCGTGACAAAAAAGAAAATATGAGACTCCATCACAAAAGAAGTAAAAATTTCATGAAACTAAGAACTCACTGAAACTACTACACAATTTCAATGCATATCTTGATTTTCCACTGAAGCAACGTAATACTAAAGTCTTGTACTTATAACAACTCAATCATCAACCAAAATTCACGTCATTCCAAGAACAGCCAAGCAGAACTCGAACCTTAGCCGTCGTGTATCCAGCAGCCAAGGCAAGCACAGGCTGCACAGCAATATAAAGCCCCGGCACATTGAACGTCTCAAACATGATCTCTCCAGTATACTCCCTGCTCTCAGGTGCAGTCAACGGGCTCTCGGTCAACAGGAAGTAGTGATCCTCCGGATCACAGCGCAGATAGTTGAATATACACTGCTGCCAGAACCTCTCCATCGAATCCCAATTCTCCACCTGGCAGTGCTTGATTGGATAGCTCAGGTTGTAAGTGCTGCTCGATTTCGATCGAGACAACGCCTCGTCGCCTATGTAAAAATCGAGATCAGCCAAAATTCCTGCATTATGCTGCCCCAGCCAATTACTGCCCTTTTTGGAAGTGGGTCGCCTTTGATTGAGAAACGACTCGTTTAGAGCAACTACAGTTGGGATTGTAAAACAGGGCTCAACATTACCGGCAAATCCGATTTTCGTATACCTGGGCCAAATCAAATTAATGTAAAAATTCAATCTTTAGGAAAAATACAGCAAGCCCATGTGCTAGATTTTCCACTAATTGACAAAACAGTATTTATTGAAGCAAGCAGTTCATCAAACAGCTTAGCTGCGTTAAATGGGATGACAAAAAAAGGGGGAAAAGGAACAGTAGAATTAGATGAAATACCCAGTGCCATTGTCGATGACTACAGCCGGACGAGTGGTGGCGAGATCCATTAGAGAACAAGAAAATGAACCGTATATGAGATTGTTAGAAGGTTTCACGAGAAGCGGTGATCGGCCGTTGATATACGTCGGACGGCGTTGGGTGTGAGTGAGTCTAACTAATCAACCAACGGTTTTGTTCATCGTTGCTTATGCGTAAAACACAATTTTGGGATCTTCTATTCTTCTACATCTAATCTAATAAACTTTGAAAATAGACAAGTGGTATTATATATTAAAAATGAATATTAACAAATGCAACATCACAAAAATTACTTTTTACATCACCTTTGTTCTTTTATAATTATAGAAATAATCAATCATATTCATATACTTGTATATAGATACACACACATAAAACACCATTTTATATTTATCATAATATATACTATATAGTTTAAAAAATTAACCAAATAAAGATTCAAAATTTATTTTGAAGACTTTGAAGTTTTATAATTTTATGCATTTTTTTATTTTTTACCCTCCACTACCATACGTCAACTTTCATATGTCGACCACCTAGACTGTCGCCATCTTGTCGATAAGGTTCTGTGATTTATATATTAAATTGATTGTTGTCACCCGTAGACTTCAAGTACCTGGATAATAATATAATTTAGTATTGGGGAACTCGGAGAAGTTGGAACAAGAACACGAATGACTACAGATTGTCAACATCTTGTAGTCATCGGGCTATAAAAACTCTAAAAGTATATGTTATTGAAATCTCTCTTCCTATGTCTTCAATTTTAATTTGGTCGGGTGATTTGTGTATATTGTGTGCATATTTATACGATAACCATGTGACTAGTGCACTATCCACATACCTCCTCTGGTGGATGTGGAAGACAAGAAACCTTAGTTTATTTCAAAACACAGTGATCTCAGAGCAACAGCTAGTAATTGGTGCTTATCAGGAATGGTTGGAATTCGATGAGATCAAGTATGGGAGAGGTCCATTCAGTTCTGTGAGGAAAATGATTATTCCAAACCATGACTCTTCTGGAATGGCAGGACTAGGGGAGGTTTTGCATACTCCCAGTTCTCCTGTTACTCAAGAAGAAAATTGGTGTTGTAAAGGGACTGCTCTCATGCACAAAGCTGAGGTGGACTTGTGGTTGCAGTCTAGGGATGATTCTTACAATCAGCCAGTGGATGCTATCCTTGTGGATCTCAGAGATTGGTTAGAAAAGGGTCTGAAGCAGGGTTGGCATGAGGTGAGACTCAAACTCAAGCAGAAAGATTTATTGCTGCTGTTGGCAGGGAAAAAGGCTTGTGTCCTCAACTATGCTGTCTTAGTGGAAGATATTAAATCTATTATGTATTTATTCCCAGTGTTTGATTTAATAGACTGCTCCTAGTTTGTCTGGTAGATTTTCTTTCTTTTGTTGGTTTGTTCTGTTTTTTATTGTCTTTGGTTTTGCTGTTAGTGTTTGGTGTCATGGCCTTGTTGGTCTCTTAGGGAGTTCGAGCTTCGATCTTCCCCATTGTACTCCGGTCTTGCTGTTTGGCAGGGTGTATTTGTAGCCATTTGGCTACCGATTTGTACATTTCAGTTATGGAATATAATTCGATGTTTGATAAAAAAAAAAAAAAAACCATGTGACTAGTGCATAAGTTATGATTTTGCACAAGGACAGAGGTGTCGGGAGATATCGATGCAACCCAAGTAAGTATGGGGCCACCCGAGAATGCACATAAGATGTTTGTGTATGTATTTGGATTTTCGAGCTAAAAATAAAGAGTCCCGAAGTTCTATGTGCATTCAAAAGTTTAAGCGATTATTACAATACTTTCTGTTCTACAGATTGATAGTAAATCTCAACTTTTATGCACACAACTAATTTACCGAACCAACATACATTCATATGGATATATGTATTTTTTAGTGTTATCCGACTAAGTAGTTGATAGATGCAGTCACATATGTAAAATCAAATCTACCAATGATGGGATTTCAAGTAAGAAAAAATAAGGTTTTAGCTAAAAACTTAATAAAATTCCAATACCAATAGGCAACATGCCATCATAAATCACAATGGGTAGGCTAAAAAAATTAAAGTCTCTTCTATTGATAACTAAAACCGTGCTATTGCTATAAACTCTGCATTAAACTTCAATTTGGACTGCTGAGTATCCAATGCGTTTCAATAATAATTATTCATAATTGAGACCCCTAAAAGCAAAATCACATTTTAAAATTCCCTAAAATACCCTCATCGCCATCACTAAAATTCAAGACTTTCACAAACAAACAAACAAAGACGGTCACATGTAGGCCTTAGCCCCAAATATGGCATTTACTATTTTCTAGTTTGGGGACACTATTTTCCTACTCCAGTTTAGCTAATCAAGCATGGAGCCAAGTTTGCATCTTATAGCACATGTTAGTTAATGGCCAAAATTGATGTGTAGATGTTAGTTACATTTTTGTCCAATGAAATAAACATACATATATTTTTTTAATAAAACTAAGGACAATGCTATTTTTTTTTTCGAACAATAGAGTATACAGGTAAACACATAATTACAACTAGAAAACATTCAAACAGTTGATTCAAGCCGCTATATAATTGAATCTAGTGGGAGGACAAACACGAAGGTCGCCTACCGCCCACACAACTAAACAACACGTTGAGGAACTCAAACAAAATAACACCCATGAGTGGAGAATAACCGCTCCCACAATGAAGAATGACACAACACTCTTAGATGGAGAATAACTAGATCCCCACCAACCAAAGAAAGCGACTCGGTCTGCGACCCAACACGTAGAGACTCTCTCTACAACTAACTAGATCCCAACCAACGGACCAGATGCCCCCCCAACA